TGGTGGAAACCCTGTAAAGTGCCTTTGCTGCCGCAAAATTATAGCAGTCAGATTAGATTTTACCTGGTGAAGCAGTCTCCCTAAAATAAGTACCAGTGTTCCTTGTGTAATTCCTGTGTTCCTTATGTTATATGTTTTGGAGGGCCATCAGAGGAAGTTCACATGTGCGTAATGCAAGTGTTTGAACTTGGGTGGACAATTTCTCTAAGAACGTGGCTTCTATTAGGTGCCCAAATTGGGCAGATTTGATCAACTTGATCTGGCCAGAAGTACTTTGTTGTCATAAAAATCTATCAAGACCACTTTTCTTCAAGGAAGGAAAACAGCCCTGCGGTTCTCCGCTCCCTCCTTCCTGCATTCCCATCCAGCAGTGTTGTTGTGAATGCTGGTCGTCTTATTAATCTTCCAAATGGTCTAGCAGTCCTTGTATTATGGCAGAAATTACTGCTCTGCCTGGAATTCTACTGCAGTGCTTCCAGTCACAATTTTTTTGGTTCAGCAACAGTAAAATATTTCAATTTTTAGCATACTGTACAGCTGACTAGCAACACTGGGGACGAGAAAGATTTTTGTCTTGTTGGCTTTGGCAGTTGTTAGATCTAAACATTGCTCTGTTATTTTTTTATTTTTATCATTGTGTTCTCTTAACAACAACCAAGTGTTTGAGTTTTTAGAAACAAATACAAAATGTTTGCTATTCCCTCCCTTTTGGGTTACTTCTCCTGGTCATATACTAGCAGTGCCATTCAGGTTTGAACAGGCTCTTAGCTGTGTGTCTAACCCCTTTGTTGTTGTCTCTTTATTGATCAAGTCTTCAGGACCAAGGTTCACTGAGTGTGGAGAGAGATGCAGAGGCTCTGCAGTGGGAAGCAGGGCATGTGCATTTGCTTATCCTGGATTTCTTTTCATGGCTTCATCTTTAAGTTAGAGGTAGACATGTAGAAGTGAAGCAAGGGTCTGTGTATATCTGTTGTTCCTGTTACAGCAATGGTGAAAAGGGATTTATTTACTGCCTGTCAGTGTGCTTGGTATCTGGGGCAGCAGTGGGTGGCCAGGTTGAAGCAAGGATGGACTCTGTCCTGCCTGATTCTTTCTGTTATTCAGCCTCTGCACTGGTAGCAGCAAGGAACAGTGTCTGGCAGTGGCAGTCTTCTTTTGTGTGTTGAACTAGATTGTTATTGCCATTGTGTGTTTGCTATGATGCTGATTTGAAAAAAGATAACATGTGGAAGTGTTTTAAATAACAAAGGGCATAACCAACCCTACCATGTTGTAATTTACATCTAGCTACACATTACTATTAAGTAGCAGATAATTAGCATGTAGGTAAGTAGTCTGAAGGGCCCAAGTATAGTTCTGTGGTTTCCAGTGGGTCTGGAAATTACTTAGTTATGTACTGGCATGCATAATGTAGTCAGCAGGCTTCAGTATAGTGGTTTACAAATTACACAACATGATTTAAGCTCAGCTTCACAAAAATAAGAGAATTGGATTGCTTGATGTATGGCAGGCCAGCTGTGTGATTGTGGATTGTACCCATTTATGTAATTACGAACTGAAACTTACCCTGTACTTCAAGTCTGTTATTGTTGATAAAATTAATCATATACTTTAATTTGTTATCCTGTAGCTATGCACGTAATTCCCAGTTGACAGTCCATTTGATAGCTTGTTTAAGTGGGCCTCAGACTGCAATTAGCACCATGTGATATAGTCAGGCCTAAGTGCCACCTCTTGTTAATTGTTAGTAAATATTGCCAATCGGATGCTTATATATAAAATATATATGGAGAAAAAATATGGACATTACTTGTAAACTTGGGGGACGAGTGGGGTTTCCTCATGGAAACAGGAATTAAAGATAATATGAAATTTCCCTTTTATTGCTTCCTCTCACAGGAGTGTTACTAAGATCTGTCTTCAGTGAACAAGGCTAGAAGCAGTTCCATTTTTGTGCCTTATTTTCCTATAAGCACGAACTTGCTTCTTTCGGAGCACATTCACAGGAGAATTAGATGTCGAAATCTGTCCTAGGAACACTTGTTAGATCCCTGACAAATAAAACTGTTCTTACACTTGACAGGCTCACTCTGTTTCCTAATACAGGAATCCATTTTTTGCCGGACCAAGGTTTGCCTTTTTTTCCTGTTTACAGAAAAGTTTCAAGTAAAATTCATAGTTCCATCTGGAGTTATTAGAGTTGTCCAGCTTTGTTTTAAGTCTGGATATGAAGTAGAGCCTGTGTTGGTGAAGTCCATTTATAGACTTCCTTATGACGATAGAGTAATACCAGTTGTCTCTGCAGATATTTTTATATATCATTAGCGTTCATTAGCCCTGACCTCAAAGTATTATGTATTCCTTTCCAGAGATCAACAGACTTCTCGTAAAGAATTCCTTTATTTTTAAGAGAACTCAGAAAATAGTACAAAATTCTCATCCATGCTTCTGTGAAAAATTTCAAATGGTATTAGCGTGTAGTGTAAACTGCAGAGCATGAAGAATGTGAACAACCCCTCCATATGGTTGTTAAATCAGGTCAAGTTTATGTTTGCCTAGTGCTTGGCTGATCTTGGCACTTGGTTGACAGCAAGCTGGCTGGGATTAAACCTGCATTAGGCATGGGCAATGTTTGCTTATCTAAGGGCAGGGAAAAGAAGTGACAGGTTATTTCAGCTCCTCCTGCTAACGTGGCATGGCTGTCATACTCGTATCAAAGTCAGCTCTTGTGGATGGTGTTTCATGACTTAACATGAAGGTAGGGTTTTATGCCTTCGTTTTCAGAACTGCTATTTTAACTAGTCGCCTTAGAGGTTTATTTTTTTCTCTTGTCTCACAGCTCCATCTACTGTTGGTGCAACTGGTTATATTTAGTCTCCGGCTTCATCTTCAGTTTTCTCTTAAACTGACACACATAACTAAAAGCTGTTTTTACCTTTCATGCACTGTTGTTGTTCAGTACCTCCTTTGTCCTCTTTTGTCTCCCCCAAATTCCTCTGCTACTTGCCTCTTGCCCATGATTTACTTTTCAGTGCTGTGAGCACCACCATCATACTTCTTTGACTGACAATTCTAGGTGTTACTCAGATCTCTTTGGTCACAGCCCAAAGACTGTTGAACAAGGGGATTGCGTGTCACATGCTTGACATCTTTTGGAAAAAGCTGCTTATCTGTGCAAACATTTGATTGTTTCCCCAAATTCTTCCTATGTCATATTCCTGTTGCTGTTAACAAACTTGCCTTGATAAATATAGTCTTAGTTCACTCATATCAATTTGAAATGATTCCACAGTTTCTAGCCTGCTCCTTTGATGGTGTCATTGCCCCATTTGCTTCTCCCTCTCCTGGCTTCTTGTACATCAAACATCTATTGCCCTTTTGTACTTTCAAGGCTCTTCACTGTGATTCCAAGAGGCTGTCACCTCTGCTCTGTTTCTCTCAGTAATGAAAAATGTACTCTCACCCCTGATCAGTCCAGGACCCAATCTTTTGTTGTTCATTTTTTCCATTCTCAACTCAAGACCTTTATACTCTAATTTTTGTGGTCTTTCACAGCAAAGGATGTCACCATAACATCTGACAAGCTGCCTCGTTATCCTTCTACAGTTCCTCATGTAAAGTCCCTTTCCTATAAACAAACCACTGTTTTGAGACTGTTGTGTAGAAAGTATTATCTTGTTATTTCCAAAGTCCTTCATACCCCTCTAGTTTACCTACATGTATCTCTGGCAACTTTTCTCATGAGCCGTTTGGGACACAGAATAATCATAGAATGGTTTGGGTTGCAAGGGACCTTTATAGGTCATCTACTCCAACCCCCTGCAATGGACAGGAACATCTTCAACTAGATCAGGTTGCTCAGAGCCCCGTGCAACCTGACTTCGAATGTTTCCAGGGATGGGGCATCTGCTGCCTCTCAGGGCAACCTCTTCCAGTGTTTCACCATTCAGCATAAAAAATTTCTTCCTTGTATCTAATCTACATCTTCCTCCTTTTAGTTTAAAGCCATTACCCCTTGGGGCCTATTGCAACAGGTCCTGCTAAAAAGTTTGTCCTCATCTTCCTTGAAGGCCCTCTTTAAGTACTGAAAGGACACGATAAGGTTTCTCAGGAGCCTTGTCTTCTCCAGGCAGAACAACCCAGCTCTCTCAGCCTATCCTCACAGCAGAGGTGCTCCAACAGGACCATGTCCTTCTTATGTGCTGATGACTCTAGAGCTGGATGCAGTACTCCAGGTGGGGTCTTACCTGAGTGGAGTAGAGGGGCAGAATCACCTACCTTGACCTGCTGGCCACATAACTTTGATGCTGTTTTGGTACAATGCCAGGCAAAATAGCATGTGGCCTATGACTGCAGCTCTGAGGTGGTGTGTAAATATGGATGATGCAAACATGCCCTTGCTAAACATTTTAGTTATAATAACTTGTGGGTGAAACCTGGTCAAGTGTTATCCAAGAAATCCTAGGAATGGATGTGCAGGAGAATCATTGTCCTCATATTTCATAATGCTCATGCTATACCTGTGTTCTAGTCCTGTGTTACTGGAGCTTGTTTGCTACTCATTCTGAAGTGCAATCTTCCCAACTTTATGTTGCTTATCTAAGGAAGACGTGAAACACAAACAATTCAAATCAGCTAGCATCTATTCTGGGAAGATATAAATGTGGCAGCACTGTTCAGCTGCTCTTTTGTGATAATTATTAATCATTCAGGATGCTCTATGAATGTTAAAAACTGTTCTGGAATGGTGCAGTGAGGAATGGCATGCTTCGTCCAGAGCTTCCAACACTAACAGCCATGACTTACCTTTTTCTATGGAAGGTTATATAGCAAAATGTTTCCCATGAGAGATGTAACAGTGATGTAACCAAATCCTGTTCTGAAGTGTTTGTCCAGAAAAGTACAGTATGAAAACAATGGGAGGGGTGGTTTTGCCAATAGTGAGATCTAGCAGATAACACCAGGTTTTATACTGATCATCTCGTTTTATTGCTTCACAGAAGGAAGAGTTTCCCAGCACATCAATCTAATTAGACGACTGTTTATCCATCCAGTCCAGAACTGCTTTGTAAGTTGCTTGCTCATAAACTAGAAATTACAGTTGAGTAGAATTTGCATATATGGTACTAATGGGTTATCTCCCTCTCTCAATATATAAGTTTAAACTTTCAGTTCACTATTGTATAACTCTGGATCAATTGTGTGTGTGTATGTATATATAGAGAGAGGTATATGATTTGGCTTCACATATATTATCCTGTAATTAGAAAACTGAAACTGATTAGTAGTATCAAAGAACAAAGAAGCTGTTATTTTGGCATGTAATTTATAGGCTTTATGTGTTTCACATCAGTATTGGCTTGTAATGTTTTAAAATCTCAGCCTTCCACTATCTTTCACTGGTTTCTGTGGAGATGTCTGACTGTGAACCTCATCAGGAGCCAATTCTGTTCTTAAAGAACAAAAGAAAACACACACGCACTTCTTTTTTTGTACTGTTGTGTCGTCGCTGCTGGAGTAGCACATGTTTTAGAGAGACACCAACATCTCCCTGATGTTGGAAGGAAGGTCAGGGAACCGGTAGCGTCACTGGAGTCTCTGTAACCTGATCCAATAGCTTAAGATGGCCAAGACCAAAAAGAGACAGCTTTACTAATTGAGGCGGCAGCTTGGGGAACAGTGGGGAACGACTGTAGCATGTGGGGGCATGGGTTGTTGCCACTGGAAAACTGGTGACTGGTAAATTCTGAGATAGCTATTAGTAATGTTATTTCCACAATGAGAGCCTGCTTATTTTGTGGGGGACTAGTTGGTGCCATGGCGTGTAGATGACCGGCGTGTGGAGAGGAATTTCATGAAGTAGCAGGTAGAAACACACCTCTGTACAGCAGGGTTGCCTAAAGCAGCTATTAGGATTCCAGAAGCCCTTCCAAATTGCAGCTTAACGAAAAAGTAACATAGCTTTTGCACTTCCCTAGCTCTTGTTTGGTTCATACTAATCTGAGTAATTGTCATGACAAAACCAAGCCAGCAAAAAGATCAGCCATATGTTCCATCTAGTTTTTGCTCTTGCTAAATGGGAGACATCTTCATGATTGAATTTTGAATTCTGTTGCTATGGATGAGTGTCATGCAACATCGGCAACAGATGAAACTGCTGAGGTGCAAAACCTGTGGACTAATGAGAAATATTGGATCAGTGGCCTACATTTAGAAGTACTTTTTTTTTTCATCCAGAAAATCCAAGATTTCAAGTCCAAAGGAAAATAACTATTACTCCAGACAATTCCTGGTGATGCACATGGATGTCTTGCTCCTTAATGCCTGTCTTTGTGTTATGGGAGCCCATTGCTATGGTCTCTAATGTATTAAATCCTTCTGGAGAAATTAGAATGAGGGTCAGTGATAAACTGTGTAACAGTTACTATGGAGTGGCCAGTCTGCTTAAATGCTCTCGTCTGCTGGACCAGTGTCACCAGGGGCTCTATAGTGGGCAATGGAAAATGTTTCAATCTTTTTGTCTGCAAAGGAAAAAAAAAAAGGGAAATAAAATCGTTTTCTATACCATGGAGAAAAGTTTACACATATTGAGCAGTGAGGGAAAAGGGAGTGCACTACCTGGTACAGGCATTACCTGGAATTGCTTTTTTCACCCATAAAATAGGTTCAGTTCCAGGCCAAACTCTGCATTCTCTCATCTCATATTCCCAGCTCCATAATCTCTATGGGTATACCAGAGTGACAGTATACCAGTGACAGTTTTCCCCTTTGCCATTACATGTGATTCAGTTGTCAGTAATAATGCCCAACTTGAATTTGTTACTATTAAAGCTTCAATCAGTGATTAGAACAGTTGAAAAATGTTACCATTTTCCTGGAAATACAGGTAGTGCTAGGCAGAGCTTACATATGCAAACTTGAGAAATTGTGGGTGGATGTTGTATTCCCCAAGGGGTGAAGTAGTTGACAATAGCATGGCAACTGACAAACAGCAACAGAAGTCATCTTTGGCATTCATATGGGGCCAAAGAGAATACATGCTGTTCAGAAATCAATTGGACAATGAATTATTTGGCTATGGTAGAACAATATCCAGCCCATCCTGGAGTTCAGGAAGAATTTGAATTGTTAGAACTGCAGTGGTGGTAGCATGGATGCACATGCGTGTGTGTGTGTATCCTAAATGAAAATGTGTCTCCAATTATTTAAACTTCAAAATACCAAAAGTGATTAGGTTACATTTGGACGTACTTTTAAATTAAAGTGCTCTTTAAGAAGTATAAATAAGTATTTATTTAAAATCAAAACAAACTTCAACATCAAGAGTCCAGTGGTAAACCTCTATTGAGGTTCTCTGACCCTTGAAGGCTCATCTTAATGAGCTATGTTTGTATTCTGTAATTAAGCCTTATGATGGCCTTGCTGGCTTTGAATATTTTATGTGTAGTTTGGAAGCCTGTCTCAACCTTTCTCAGAGTAAATAGGTTTTTTGCAGCAATCCTGAAAGTAAAAACCTGCACATGAGTTCCTAGCAATAATAGGTCTTAGAGAACTTTCTTTTATTTTAGTCAAGTACACAAGATTCCACAGCGAATGAGATCTGTTCATGTTCAGTAACCAATTGTTAAAAAATACAGAGATTAAAACATTTTGGCTGTTGTTGCGTCCGGTGCTTCTTGTACAATAAATGACACAATGACTTTCCAGCAATTAACAAACTCCCTGTTTTGATATACTTCTGGTGCTTCAGTGTGAGTTGCCTAGCAATGTCAGGCTGCTGATACAGCTGGAGCTTTTGCCTCTCAAGGATACGTGTGTCACCTTTCTGTCAGATGTTACTTCTTTTGGTCCTCAATCTCTTTTGTAAATGCTTGAAAGTTCACTTGTCTTTTGTGGATATTTTTCTTTTCTTTTTCTCCCTGCTGCTTCTGTTTGTTACAGCTAATTGTTATAAGATCAGAATGAGACTTTTTGTTGTGGTGAGGATGAGTAACAAAAGCAACCAGAGTATGTTGTTTGTTAGAGAAATTTGAGTGCATCCTTTGTGAAATTTATCATTATTTGCTACCAAAAAAAAAAAAAAGTACTTGCCCTTTCTGTTTTTCAACTATGTTATACTTTGATGTTCTCTGCTACAAGCGGTGTTTTGTATTCCATTTGCTGAGCTGGTGAAGTCTAAATGTTTCCTAAAAGCCTCTTTGGGAGAAAAGAACCAAGCAATTTCTCCTTCATGCTAGCAGCAGGGTTATTAAGGCTTCATAACTTCTTACTCTCAAGAGATAGGAGCCAGAGAAAAGGAAGGTGGGCCAGACTTCCAGAATTAGTGGGGGGAAGAACCACAAGCAGCAATTTATTGCTCTAGTTCTAATCTAATTTACTGAGTCATTCTTCTGGTTGAAAGGTTTTGTATTCTCATGTTGCACTGTGATTCTATAGTTTTGAGGCCGTCATAAAAATGAAGGGAGGCCTGGAGGAAAAGATACAGAGATAGGCGTAGGCAGCGGTCCCACTGCTGTCTCTCCTTGGACACTGTGCCTGGGTTTCAAGGGCTGAATTTTAGTCAGAGTTAGCTTATGTATCTGTTACCTTGGTTTTGTGTTATTTAGAGCTTGTTCTTGTGAATTTAATAAGTTGATTATACAAACTAATGAAAGGAAAGCTCATCAAGAAAAACATTTAGTGCAAAAATGCTGCTTATGGCTCAAAGTTTCTGAGCACAAAACTGCAGAAGAATATTCTAAGAAAAGTGTAGCTACGTGCTTGGTCTGATCAGGTACGGTCCCCTAGGTATCACCTCGTGGCCACCATTGGTGGTAGAATCTTTAATTGGGCCTTGAATGATCATTGTGTTATTGGATGGGTACTTCTTTAAGAGTTAAAATCCAGTGGTTTGTGTCTTCTTGTTTTCTTCTTTTCCACGCAAAAATCAAAACTGCACTGCTGACGTTGCATTGTTAGCAAGTGTAAGGCACAGCATACACCAAACTACAAGGAACTCCCGGAGGGAGCAAAAGACATTGCTTTATAGGATTTGCTTTCTATCTTCATAGTAGATAGGCTCTGTTTGTTGTTATCCTGTTGGCTCTGTCCCTGTCATCAGTAGCGAGCTCAAAGATAGGAGTGTTAGGTTCCTCCACAGTGTGAAAAACATGGGAGCCTGCTGTGCCCCCTAAAAATGCATACTTGTAAAACTGGCATGATTCTGTCTTTAGGTTTTGATGAGTTCACCCCTCTTTCCGCAGCATTTTGGTAATAAGGATCATGGAATCATGGAATTGTCAGAGTTGGAAGGGACCTCTAGAGATCATCTAGTCCAACTTCCCAGCTAAAGCAGGATTGTCTAGTGCACATCACTCGGGACTGCATCCAGGCAGGTCTTGAAAATCTCCAGAGAATGGGACTCCACGACCTCCCTGGGCAGCCTGTTCCAGTGCTCTGTCACCCTCACCGTAAAGAAGTTTTTCCTGATATTTGAATGGAACTTCCCATGTTCCAGCTTGTGCCCATTGCCCCTTGTCCTGTCAGTGGAAACCACTGAAAACATTTTGGCTCCATCCTCCTTCAACACACCCTTTACATACTTGTAAGCACTAATAAGGTCTCCCTTCAGCCTTCTCTTCTCCAGGCTAAAGAGTCCCAGCTCTCTCAGCCTTTCCTCATAAGGGAGATGCTCCAATCCCTCAGTCATCTTTGTTGTCCTATGCTGGATTCTCTCCAGTGGTTTCCTGTCTTTCTTGAACTGGGGAGCCCAGAACTGGACACAGTATTCCAGTTATGGCCTCACCAGTGAAGAGTACAGGGGGAGAATGACCTCCCTCAACTTACTGGCCCCATTCTTCCCTGGGCAGCCCAGGATTTCATTGGCCTTCTTGGCAACAAGGGCACGTTGCTGGCTCATGGATAATTTACTAACTACCAGGACCCCCAGATTCTTCTCCACAGAACTGCTTTCCAGCAGGTCTGCCCCTAACCTATATTGGTGCCTGGCATTCTTGCTTCCCAGGTGCAGGACCCTACACTTGCCCTTGTTGAACGTCATTAGGTTCTCTGCCCAGCTGTCCAGACTGT